GAGGGCAGAACTGAAAAATGCAGTATTTGAAAGTGGCGCCCGAATTGCAGCATGGCGCCAGTTGTCCAAAATCCTACGGTACCAAAGGAGGGGTTTGGAAAAAGGGTGCCAGGCCGAAAACGGGATGCAGCCGAAACAGCAAAAGATAGACCAGGGATGAGCCCTGGCGAAGTCCGTAACATGTTCGCTCGAATTGGCACAAAACGCTAAAGCTCTAACGCCGCCGCCCCAGAATTAACCCATGTCCCACCCCAGAATAAACCTTTGTCAATTGGGGGAATATAGCTTTTGGCCTCCTCTCTGGAGTTTCCTTCCTCGATTGATTTGTGCTCTCCTCGCCGCTGATGCTGCTCTTTTATTTGTCATTGTTCTTCTCACAGTGATTTTAATAATAGTGCTCTGGCATTTTCTGCAGAATTGACTCAGATTAAAAGACTCATGGTTCAGTCCCAAGTTCCAGTCTTGAGTCCCAGTCTCAAGTCCCATCCTTGTGCAATGACTTGCTGTCTTCTGATCGTCTGTAGCCTCTCTCTGTCGAGGCTGTACTATAGGTAGGACAGATTCACAATTTTATTTGGCTGAGGGCTAACCGAGAGACCTACCTGTGAGGGAAATTCGAGAGGGACATATCTGGAAATCCGGGAAAATACAGGCCCGGTACTAACAGGACTCCCTACGGCTACCTTAACTGCGAATAGCAGGCCCGGGCTACCCCTAGGACAGACAGGCCCTAACGGCCTATTCTGAATAGACGGTCCTATAACCTATAGCCGGGTCCGGTAGAGGCTGAGAGGCCGAGACAGATACGGTACCGGTCGGTCAGTCAGTCCGGTCTAGGTCGAGTCTAGGATAGTGGTAGTCTATAGATAGATTGGGCACATCGGTTCAGGGCTTTTGGCGGTTGGTACCATGTACATCGCTGCTGCACAACGCATGAACTGGAAGTGGTGACGGCTCAGCGTTGAGGGAGACAGCCATAGCTGGACCTTCGGAGCATCAGCCATAGCTGGGGCTGACGCTGTCCTCTGAGAGCACGYGGGGCTGTTCAGAGGTCCGAGCTATCTGGAGTCTGCTAKGAGGCGAGAGAGTTGGTGCCCTGCTGGACCCTCCTCCGGAGTGGGGTTCCAGGGTTAGGGCGCTGCAGCCATAGCTGCAGCTTCTCCTCAGAGGTCATCTTGTCAGGGTTTGGTGGCGCTGCTGCAGACTTCCACCCGGGAAGTCTTCCGACACTTCCTCATCATCAGATACTGTGGCGCTGGTCCTTCTTCTTCATCCTCTGAGTGGCGCTTGGCCTCAGAGGCCTGTTTCAGGGTGGCGCTACCCCCAGGAGGCTGTATCTGGGTGGCGCTTGATGTTTCAGGGACTCAAGGGGTGTTACGGGTGTTAATCAGGGTTGGGGAGTGAAGCGCTGCTCATTTCTGAGCAGCGCACTGTAGTACTGAAGTTATCCTGACAATTCGAGACTCTGAGTTTGATAAACAGTGTAATACTGTGTTTGGACTATCTTCGTTTCATTGTTTCATGGATGTGATCTTCTCGGCTTTCCTTTATGACTGGTTGTGAGGATTCAGTGGAGTGAATTGCACACTCAGTGTACCCTGTCATATCGCATGGTCAAGTCTTCCGCTCTGTTTATCTCTCCCTGTGCAGTGTGATACTCCTATCCCCTCCCCTTCCTTCTGTGTATGTATGGGCATATCCAGAAGTCTATGTGAGTGAGTGTTGGCCTTCAGGCAATGAACAACCAGAATCATAACACTTGAGTCCCAGTCTTGAAACCAAGTCTGAGTCCCCATTTGTGGTCCAAGCCACATTTACAATACTCACGAATGCCCAAGGAGTGTAGCTCTCGTTTGTACAACGATTACAAATACCTAGGTAGGTTAGTTTAAGTAGGCCATGGTAGGAAGTCCCTAGTTGATAACAGTATGGGTTGAGAAGTCTCGTTCCAGGTAGGCACAACTAACTTCAGTAAATATAGCAAGTGTCAGTCAGTCCAGTCAAGCAGCCAATTCCATGAAAATCCGCAACCTCCGGAAGCAACAGACGAAGGCAAGGGGACCAACACATAACCAGCAGGAGAAGCCTGGAAGGAGGATCATCGAGTACAAAGTACTACAAACATTGAGCACAGCTTGGACGTCAACACCTTATGCTTTGCACTCGATGCGGAAGCGCGCTGCAGTCTTGTGTATTGAAGTGATGGCGGAGGAAGTGAGAGAGAGTAGAGCAGTGTAGTCCACGGCACTGGGCACCATAGCAATAGCTGTAGTATGAGAGAGAGAGAGGGAGAGAGAGGAAGACATTCATAGAAACAAGTGAGACTATGAGAGTGAGAGTAGCCTAGGTAGGAAGAGAGAGAGAGAGAGAGAGAGAGAGAGAGAGAGAGAGAGAGAGAGAGAGAGAGAGAGAGAGAGAGAGAGAGAGGAAGAAAAGGGAGGCGCTTACCTGCATCTTGAGTCGGGTGGCCATAGCCACCGATGACGAAGAAAACTTAGTTTGGTGTTGGCTACTGACGGTTCTTTTCGGTTTTTAATCTCCTGAGTGTCTCATGCGTGTGCGATGTGATTGCAGACTTGTGTACGAGTGTTCCATGCATGGTGGTCTCATTGCACACAGTAATGGGACACTGGACCTGGTTACCAGCAGGTGCAGCTCCCCTCCAATTGATTGGAGCCATCCAAAATGGGTCCCTGCTATTGGGAGCTGCTCTTATCACTCCGAACAGTAAGCTCTGAGGATGTTAACAAAAACAAAAGGAGCTTTTTCGTTCTGTTGAAAAAAGAAAATATGTCCTTACCACTGCTCAACCGTACTGCGACTGCTGAGCTGTACGAATCTGCAAAACTGCTTTTTCTTACGTATGATACAGCAGAATCATCATCAAGCAAGCTGAAACTAACAGCCTCGGTGTTTGTGTCACTCCAACCAGCCTGTCCGCAGAATCTGAAGAATACATTTGATATCTGGTAAAAACAGAGCAACATGATACAATAGGACGAGCAAACACGATCAATCAAAACCCATTATCAATTTAAGCAATGCTTCCGATCATTCTCAGTTTGCAGGAAAAAAAAAGTTTTTTTGTGGTTCTTTATCTCACATCAACCAGTGAAGTCCATGCTCTGCAAGGCTTGGACCGTTGAGCCAAATTCAGCTCCGCTTGAATGGATGGTACTAAGTCCTGCTTTTTGTATCTGTGAAGAGCTTCCACCCATCAAATAGGGGCGATCACTAACCAATGCCTTTCCATGTGGCTGAACTTTGGTAGCTGACATAAAACCACCGACCAGCAGCCTCAAAGTAAACCTTACAATTTAATTTTTGTACTTCAAACCACCAGTTGAAAGGATTCATGCGGCAGACACCCAGTCCCGGTCCCAAGGTCCCGACAAGTCCCCAGTCCCAGGGCGGTCCGTAGGGTAGGCCGTAGGGTCTAGGGGTCCGAAACATCGTAGGTCGGCAGGTGTCAGTACCGAAGCGTCGTAGGTCGGTAGGAGTCCATCCGGTACCCGACAAGAAAAGTCCGGAAGAGTCCAGTCCGGTCCGACGGTCCCAAGTCCAATTTTGCAGCATGTCCCAGAAAAGTCCGGAAGCTACCGGACCGACAAAATATTTGCAGTAGACAGGCCACGGCCGACCGGTACCAGTCTGAAGCAGGCCAAGCCAAGCCCAGCCAAGTGAAGCCAAGTCCTATATTTAGCTGCTGCAGTGCAGCAGCTCATGACTTGTTCAGTTGCGAGATGCAGAAGCGCTGCTGCTGCTGCTTGTGCGTTAAGGCAACTTAGGAACTGCGTGCCCAAAGAAGAAGAGGGCGCACGCGTGCGACTCCATAGCTAGGGTAGGGGTAGAGCAGGAGGACGACGGTCATAGCCCCAAAGGTGTAAGCTTACCTGAGTGGGTGTATCCAGGGTGACAATCTACGTTAGAGAGAGAGAGAGTGAGCCAGAGTGAACCAAGTCAGAGAGACAAGCAAGACGAAGAGAGAAAAAAGAGAGAAGAGAGAGAAGCCATAGCTGCCACCTGATTGAGATCCGTTGTGTGTGTGTGGGCGGCAGAGCCGCTGGAGACGAACATTCTTGTATATTCAAACTATATTTGATAATAACATTGGAGACGACATCTTCAAGTGTTGATTGTATCTCGATTTGGCTTCTCACGTGCGATCTCTCATGTGAATGTTCATTGATGTATGCGAGGTTGAACTTGACGAGTACTTGGCCCATTTCAGTGGTATCAGAGCTGGTTCCCGCTGCATCCGCTCGGAGTTGAGATGCTGGCAAGGAAGAAGGCCGGCGGGTGAAAAAAAAAAATATATGTATATATATATATATGTATATATAGATATAGATAGATCAGGGTTTGACTGGGAGTTGAGGACCGAAGAAGAAGAGGCACAGCAAGGAGCAAGAGGAGAACTGTGGCATACTGTGCAGCCACACGGGCCTTGCAGGGCCCGTCCCGGACCTCCAGCCTGTTTCCCTACAGGGAAACTTCCAGGCTCTTGCCTGGAAGCTTCCTTCTGGCAGGGCCTACAGGCCCCAGCCTGTTTCCCTACAGGGAAACTTCCAGGCTCTTGCCTGGAAGCTTCCTTCTGACAGGGCCTACA